TGTTGCCTTCTGTTTAAGGAACACCGCATAAAAATTTAGCAATCCCAAAAATGCTTGAAGCTCGGCTTTGTTTTTGGGGGCTGGAGCTTCGTGGATTGCCTGACTTTAGCTTTGGTGGGGTGGATGCCGGTGCCATCTATGAGATAGCCCAGGAACTCGACCTCCTGGACCCCAATGATGCATTTGTCCCTCCTCACTCTTAAACCCTTCTCCTTGAAGCGCCGCAAGACTTGTTTAAGTCGCTCAAGCAGCTGGGTTTTAGAGTGTCCGGAGATCAACACATCATCAAAGTATGGCACCACCCCTGGAATGCCTTGGAGAAGGCGTTCCATCATTGATTGAAAAATGCCTGGGGCTGCGCTGACTCCAAATTGGAGGCGGTTGCACTTAAATGCGCCCCTATGGGTGACAATCGTTTGTGCCTCCGCAGTTTTTTCATCCACTGGCAATTGCTGGTAAGCCTGGGCCAGGTCCAGTTTTGCAAATATTGTCCCACTCCCAAGTGAATGCAGCAGATGTTGCACCACTGGAACTGGGTATGCGCTCTGCGAAAGGGCCTTATTGATCGAACATTTGTAGTCGGCGCAGATGCGCACAGATCCATCATGCTTCATGGGAGTCACAATGGGCGTCTCCCATGCTGCATGATCGATTGGTTCCAACACGCCCTGGGCTATCAGCTTATCTAGCTGAGCATCTACTTTGGGCCTCAGGGCAAACGGAACTCTGCGGGGCTTAAGCCTAATGGGTGTAATTGTCTTATCAAGATTAAAGGAAATGGGCTTCCCCACAAATTTCCCCAGTTTACCGTCGAAGACTTCCTTGAATTCTTCGAGGAGGGTGTCGAGTTCGTCCTGACGAATTTGGTTAACCCCTACTATCCCGAGCCCTAGTGGCTTGAACCACTCCATGCCTAGCAGGGTTGGGCGGTCGTGCTCGACGATGGTGATGGGGAGGTTGCCTTGGAATTCTTGGTAAGACACGTGGAGCAAGGCTCTTCCCAGGACTCCGATGTGGTTTCCTCCGAAATCCACCAGCCTGGAGCGCAGGGGTCTCAGGTCCTTCTTGCGGACGTCTGGCTTGATGCGTTTTAAGTTTTTCCAGTCCATGATTGAGTAGACGGAGCCAGAGTCTACCTCCATGGAGCATGGGGTCCCCTCAAGCAGCACGGTCGCGTGGCACTTAGTGGCGGTGTCGTCGTCATCGGGGAGATGTATTGTGGTTTGGTGTACTGCTCTCCTCCGGTTCCCGTCACTCTCACCGCGTCTGGATTGGTAGGAGGACCGTCTGGATGCCCTCGCGTTGTCCTCCCGGTTTTCGCGAGGGCGGTGGCTGGAGGGTTCTGGGGCTGGTTCCTCAGCTCTGCATGCCTCTGCAATGTGCCCTCTCCTGTTGCAACGCCGGCAGGTTGCATCTCTCCATTTGCAGCTGGCTCTGGGGTGGTCCCCTCTGCAGCTGGCGCAGCGCTCCCCCTTGTAACTTTTTTGGGCGGTTTCCCGCCTTGGGGGTCTGGATACCTTGTGTACAGTGGATTCCTCCTCCGACTCTGATCCAGCTGCGGAATCCTCAGTTGAAGATTGCGTTGTGGAGCGAATCTTGTGGATTCCCTTTGCTCTGCTTACTGCGGCAGCCGCTTTCTCCGAGATTTCGGATGCGGTGGCTTCCTCCACCACATCTTTGAGCACGAGTTTCTTCCTGCTCAGAAATTTCTTTTGCAGGCCTCTGTCCCTTGTGCCGAAAACCACGCGGTCCGCGATGGCGTTATCCACATGGTCAAACTCACAGCTGGCTGCGATTTGGCGCAGGGCGGCCACAAATTCTTTGATGGTCTCACCTTCCTTTTGATCCCTTTGATGGAAGGTGAAACGGTTTGCCACTGGGGTGCCAGTTGGGGCATAGTGTTCTTCCAGGATCTGCAGCAGGTCCGTCCATGGCACTTCTTCGATGTCTCGTGGTGCTACGAGATCGATTGCCATGTCTAGGACTTCGGATCCGCAGTTGGCCAAGAAGATGCCCTTTTTCCGATCATCATCGGCATCCCTGATGTTGTTTCCTCTCAGGTACTGCCGAAATTTTACCACGTAGGATTTCCACTTGTCCTTCCCTGGGCGGAATGGAGCAAGGGCTGGCAAGGTGACTTCAGCTGATGCCATGCCTCTGGAAATCCCTACGAAGTGACTCGGTTCTCAGTGACTTAGCTCTATGAGGTTGGCTTGTGCCACGAGGTTCGTCGCTTGGTTCTGTTCCTTCGTCGCCAGTGTTAGATCGGCGCAGGGAAAGCAAGACGCGACCAGCTCGGGTCCAGTTCAGTACTTTATTCAAGCACAGGAAAAAGACGAGCGGCTGGGCTGCCGGAGCTCCTTTTATACGCTCGGCAGACTCAGCCGCCCACTGACAGTTATTTGAATCTCCGCCGGAAGATTAGCCAATCCCCGGCGGGTGCCCATATAAGGACATAACAAAGAGTCTTCATGAAAAGGCCTTCTCATTTATGGAGTTCCTGAGCTACAAATACTCTCTTCAAGGCATCAATATAATGCCTGGGTAAGGCCACACCTGGAGTACTGCATCCAGTTTTGGCCACCAAATTGTAAAAAAGATGTTGAGACTCTAGAAAGACTGCAGAGAAGAGCAACGAAGATGATTAGGGGACTGAACGGTTGCAGGAACTGGGTATGTCTAGTTTGATGAAAAGAAGGACTGGGGTGACATGATAACAGTGTTTCAGTATTTGAGGGGCTGCCCCAAAGAAGAGGGAGTCAAGCTCTTCTCCAAAGCACCTGAAGGCAGAACAAGAAGCCATGGATGGAAAGTAATCAAGGAGAGAAGCAACCTAGAACTAAGGAGAAATTTCCTAACAGTGAGGACAATTAACCAGTGGACCAGAAGTTGCCTTCAGAAGTTCTGGATGCTTCATCACTGGAGGCTTTTAAGAAGAGACCGGACAGCCACTTGTCTGAAATGCTGGGGGTTGGACTAGAAGGCCTCTAAGGCCCCTTCCAGCTCTATTCTGATTCAATCCTGGAAGCGAATCCTGAAAAAAGAGCTTTCTCTCCATTGCGGAAGGAACGGAGGCGAAAAGGGTGAAGATTTGGGGGGCAGGCTTCCGATGACCCCGATGGAGAATCTCGCCCAGCCTTCTCCCTTCCTAGCAACGGCTGAAAATCTCTTCTGGATGGAACTAATGGCGGAATTTGTGCGGCTAATGAGCTGTGGCAGGCATGGGTAGTTAACTGTTCGAAAACTGCCTAGTGGTACCGATTGAATTATTATGAGATCAGGAGGGAGACGAAGGCTCCAATTAAGGAGAGACAGGGGAGCTCATGCAGTGGGTGCTCCGGGATTGTCCGTATTTCACAGGGGCCATTTAGAGAGCTCAGTCATGGAGAAAGGAAGGGGGAGAGAAGGAGAGGATTCCTGGCCTTCTCCGGGTCTCCGTTCTTTGAAGACTGTCTTTCTATGGATGTCCCTGGAAATCTAAGCCTGAACAGCAGAGGGAGGGTTAAAGGTCTGTAAAGATTCTCGGTCATCCAGGTCATGGTTATCCTAAAGGTGCTTTTTCTGGAGGCAACTGGACTTTCTTCTTTTACTTTGAAGACGTTTCGCTTCTCCTCCAAGGAGCTTCTTCAGCTCTGACTGGATGGTGGGGAATGGAAGGATTGATACTCCTTGCAGGCAGCTGGTCACCTGCATCCTTTTAGAGCAGTGTTTCTCAACCTTGGTAGCTTGAAGATGGGTGGACTTCAACTCCCAGAATCCCCCAGCATGGTGGAGGGAGGGATGGGAAGAGAGAAAGGGAAGGAAGGGGAAGGAAGGAAGGAAGGAAGGAAGGAAGGAAGGAAGGAAGGAAGGAAGGAAGGAAGGAAAGAAGGAAGGAAGGAAGGAAGGAAGGAAGGACATAGTGGTAGAGTGGTAGAGTACAGTATTGCAGGCTAATACTGCCCACTGCCAACAGTTCAATCCTGACCAGTTTAAGGTTGACTCAGGTTTCTGTCCTTCCGAGGTGGGTAAAATGAGGACCCAGATTGTTGGTGGCAAGAGGCTGACTCTATAAACCGCTTAGAGAGGGCTGGAAAGCACCGTGAAGCAGCATATAAGTCTAAATTCTTAATTGAGAAGAAAAGGAGAGTACCAGATGAGAACTTTCAATTGCTTTTTTCCGCCACCCCTTTAGATATTGGAAGGCTGCTATCCTGTCTCCTCTAGTCCTTCTTTTCATTTATTTAGACACACCCAATTCAACTGCAGTGATTCACTTAACAACTGTGGCCAGAAAGGTCATAAAATGGGGCCCACCTCACTTGACAAATGTCTCACTTAGCGACAGAAATGTTGGGCTCAATTGTGGTCGTAAGTCGAGGATTACCTATATCATGCCCCCCCTCCCGGTCCTTCTATTCATTAAACTAGACATCCCCAATTCCAGCAACCGTTCTTTGTACGTTTTAGCACCCAGTCCCCTAATCATCTTTGTTGCTCTTCTCTGCACTCTTTCTAAAGTTTTATTTTCAATGAGTCTTCCTAATGATATTGAGCAAGGAATTCCATAGCACCAGGCTCCAGAGTAATATTTTCATTTAACTGTCCACAATTTTGCAAGGAGACCATTTTCCCAATTCCATTAGCAACCCAGCGTCCCTTAGCGTATACGCAAAATGAGGATTTTTCCTACCATTATCAGTTTATCACACAATACGTGTCGTTTTCCAGACTAATGCCCTATACCTTTCATTAGGAAACGGCCTTTTGAAGCTCTCCATAATAGTTCTGTTTGTTGGCTTTTACTTTCTTAAAGAAATAAATTCCATTTAGATCAGTCTTTTTCAACCTTTGTAGCTTGAAGATGGGTGGACTTCAATTCCCAGAATCCTGGGATTCTGGGAGTTGAAGTCCACCCATCTTCAAGCTTCCAAGATTGAGAAACACTGATTTAGATGCTAATCCCAAACTCCTGGGGGGGGATTAGAAATACAAATTCTAATACAGATAATTGAGGCACATTATAGTAATTTACATCTCTTTATTGTTAAGTACGGACCATTTCTTCTAAGTTTCCACATCCTGTTTTTGAGCAATGGCTGATCCATAAGAAAACTTCCCTTATTGTAATTGTTTATTCCGGATTTTTTGAATGTCCAGGTAAAACCATGTCCATGAGATCATTCTGACCACTTGCATCAGGCATTGGTCAGACAAGTTTTACTACCGGTTCTGTGGTCGTGGCTTGGTGGGTGTGGTGTGGTTTGGTTTGGTGGGCGTGACTTGGTGGGTGTGGCAGGGGAAGAATACTGCAAAATCTCCATTCCCACCCCACTCTGGGGCCAGCCAGAGGTGGCATTTGCCGGTTCTCAGAACTGCTCAAAATTTCCGCTACTGGTTCTCCAGAACCTGTCAGAACCTGCTGGATTTCACCCCTGGGTCAGACTCTCTTACGATGTTCTCAAATGTGGTCCAACTTGAAGGACATGTGAATGAGGTGCTCTCTGAGATTGGTGGCTTTCTTGCAGACATTTCATGACCCAACTAGGTAAGAAGGAGGAGGGGGAGGAGGAGGAGGAGGAGGAGGAGGAAGAGGAGGACTGTGGGGTCCTCATGGAAAGGAGGAAGAGGTGGTGGAGGACGAGAGGAGGAGGAGGATTGTGGGGTGAAGAGGAGGAGGAGGAGGAGGACTATGGAGTCCTCATGGAAAGGAGGAAGAGGTCGTGGAAGACGAGAGGAGAAGGAGGAGGATTGTGGGGTGGAGAGGAGGAGGAGGAGGAGGACTTTGGGGTCCTTGGCATTCTCTCAGCTTGGTGATCCAACTAGATAATATCAATATTAGCTTAGCCTAGCACTGATGATAGTATCTAGTTGGGTCATGGAACATCTGCAAGAAAACCATCAAGAGACCATCATGGATTCCACAATTTAACCACGAGCTACAAGTATCCTTCCAAGGGGGTCAGCCCTGGGTGAAGATCACCCGAAATCACCCAAATCAATTTTGGCAGCCTTCCCAAACTGACGCTGATTGGGGGAAACAATCCAACTTGAAAATGAATTGGGATGAATGATTGATAGTCCATTTCCTAGGAAGCCAGCTATTATTCATGATGACACATAAAACAGAATGAAAGAAGATGGACATTCAATAAATTGTTCCTGAACATGAAGGCATTCCATTGATGAGTGTCTTCTTTCTTCCTTAACAGGTATCACATGAAGACGACCTTTTGGGAGGATGTCATGAGTTGGGAGGCAAAGAGAAAAGAGAATGCATATTAGAAATTATTTATGTTGAACTGCATAATAGAATAACAAAGTTGAAAGGGACCTGGGAGGTCTTCTAATCCAACCCACTGCTTAGGCAGGAAACCCTATACCAGTGTTTCTCAACCTTGGAAGCTTGAAGATGGGTGGACTTCAACTCCCAGAATCCCCCAGCCAGCGCTGCTGGCTGGGGGATTCTGGGAGTTGAAGTCCACCCATCTTCAAGCTTCCAAGGTTGAGAAACACTGCTCTATACCATCCAATGGCTGTCCAATGTCTTCTTAAAAACCTCCAGTGATGGAGCATTCACAACTTCTGGAGGCAAGTCGTTCCTCTGGTTACTAATTGTCCTCACTGTCTGGAAGTTTCTCCTTAGTTCTAGGTTGCTTCTCTCCTTAATTAGCTTCCATAGATTGACTCCCTCTTCTTTGGGGCAGCCCCTCAAATATTGGAACACTGCTCTCATGTCTCCCCTAGTCCTTCTCTTCATTAAACTAGACATACCCAACTTGCGCAACGGCAACCATTCTTCATCTGTTTTAGCCTCCAGTCCTCTAATAATTTTTGTTGCTCTTCTCTGTACTCTTTCTAGTGTCTCAACATCTTTTTTGGTGACCAAAACTGGATGCAGTAGTCCAAGCATGGTCTTATCAAGGCATTATAAACCTGTAGTATCACTTCTCGTGATCTCAATGCTATCCCTCTGTTGATGCAGCCAAGGACTGTGTTGGCTTTTTTGGCCAATGTAGCACATTAAGTTGCTTCCGTTCCTACTTTCCTCAATTGGGCCACTCTCTCTCTCTTGTTCTGAAGGAGCTTCCATCGTTTTCTAGGATAATCATACCACATAATTAAAAAGAAAATAGAGTATTAAAAGAGGGAGAGAGAACCCAAAGTCCAGTGATTTAACTTAGAGAAAGTCTTCATGAAAAGGCCTTCTCATTTATGGAGTTCCTGAGCTACAAATATTCTCTTCGAGGCATCAATATAATGCCTTGGTAAGGCCACACTTGGAGTACTGCATCCAGTTTGGTCACCAAGATGTAAAAAAGATGTTGAGATTCTAGAAAGACTGCAGAGAAGAGCAACAAAGATGATTAGAGGACTGAAGAGTTGCAGAAACTGGGTATGTCTAGTTTGATGAAAAGAAAGACTAGGAGTGATATGATAGCAGTGTTCCAATATCTCAGGGGCTGCCCCAAAGAAGAAGGGAATCAAGCTATTCTCCAAAGCACCTGAAGGCAGGACAAGAAGCAATGGATGGAAACTAATCAAGGAGAGAAGCAACCTAGAACTAAGGAGAAATTTCCTGACAGTGAGAACAATTAACCAGTGAAACAACTTACCTCCAGAAGTTGTGGATGCTCCAACAGTGGAAGTTTTTAAGAAGATGTTGGATAACCATTTGTCTGAAGTGGTGTAGGGTTTCCTGCCTAAGCAGGGGGTTGGACTAGAAGACCTCCAAGGTCCCTTCCAACTCTGTTATTCTAATTTCTTCGATTGGCCTTCTCATTTCTCAATACTACTTCTTTGATGTCATTTCCTGCCTCTTTCCAATCATTTCTTTCACTTCCAGCAAGGAACCCTAAATTGCCAATAACCTGTTGTGAAACAGAGCCTGAGAAACCCTAGGAATCAAGGACTGAAATGGACTTATTCTGGGAATAAACGTTTCTCACTCCAAAAGGCTTTCATTCCCACTTGACTTTGGAAGAGATGTTGACCTCTTCTACTGAGAAAGTCACTAAAGAACGATATGGAGACTCAAGAACCTCAGGATCTGGCATATCAAGGAAGATTCGTACCTTGCGTGGCTAAAGACAAATCCCTTCAGGTAAAGGAATGGTGGTCGATCTGACCTTCATGCTACATGTAGTTGTCCAGAACAAGGTTCAACCTTGAAGAATAAAGTTAATGGGTGAGAAATTAAACCAGTTAAGGATCATAAATACCATTCCAGAAAGGTTTTATCATGTCTGAATGTCCCATTAGTGGATACAGAAGGTGCTTAGATGTCAACCAGATATACCTAACCCTATCTCCATTTTGAAGTTGCTAGGATGGTAGCCATACCTGGTTGCCTGACCATTTAAGGCAAGAACCATCTTGCCGAAATGAATGGGAGGTTCAGAGGTGGGGTCCTCAGAAGAACGTGGAGCCCCCCGAAGATCTCCTCGCTGCTCCTGTGGGTCATCTCCGTCCCTTCTCTTCTCTTCCTTTCACCCTTTCCATTGTTGTTCTGCTGTGAACAAAAGCAACAGTGGCGAAGCGAACAGATGTTAGAACGAGCTCTTTCCTCCCCTTCTGCTGGAGCAACCTCACCTCCCCATGTGGGAAGAGCCCGGAGCAACCTGCTTTGCAACTCTGCCGAGTCTGTGTCACTTCACCTGTCACACAAGCTGGTGACAAGAGCGTAGCAGCAACAGCACCAGGCAACCGCCACGACGGGCTGATGGGGAATTGGGGTGGGGGTAGGGGGGGGAGAGGGAAAGGAGGAGGGAAGCAGATGCACCGTGACTCACCCCCAACAGCGTTCTCGCATCAGGGAGGTGCGAAACCGAGCACGTGACTTCCACTTTCAGCCAAAGACACCGGAACAGATGATAGTGGCTACAGGCCTACCACTTTATCATGGCTTGCTATTTCTAGGAGATGTCAAACATGCAGCGCTAAGCAGCCAACCCTGTTACCATCTGCCGAAGATGCGAACGTGGCTTGTGGACTGTTAGATCAGCTTTCTTGACAGCAGCTGGTCCTCCTCCTCCTCCTCCTTCTTCTCCTCCTCCTTTTCGTTCTTCGGAATTTAAAGGGCGAGACGAAAACCAGAGAACACATGAAGAACGGTTGCTGGAACTGGGTATGTCTAGTTTAATGGAAAGAAGGACTAGGGGAGACAGGATAGCAGTCTTCCAGTATCTCAGGGGCTGCCCCAAAGAAGAGGGAGTCAAGCTATTCGCCAAAGCACCTGAGGGCAGGGCAAGAAGCAACGGGAGGAAAGTAATCAAGGAGAGAAGCAACCTGGAATTAAGGAGAAACTTCCTGACAGTGAGGACAATTAACCAGTGGAACAGCTTGCCACCAGAAGTTGTGGGTGCTCCATCACTGGAGGTTTTCAAGAAGAGACGGGACAACCATTTGTCTGAAATGGTGTAGGGTCTCCTGCTTGAGCAGGGAGTGGCCTAGAAGACCTGTAAGATCCCTACCAACTCTATTATTGTATGTTCTATCTTCTAGAGCAGTGTTTCTCAACCTTGGTAGCTTGAAGATGGGTGGACTTCAACTCCCAGAATCCCCCAGCCAGCAGCGCTGGCTGGGGGATTCGGGGAGTTGAAGTCCACCCATCTTCAAGCTTCCAAGGTTGAGAAACACTGTTCTAGAGAGAGCCACCAAACAATGTGGAATGATAGCAAACTTACCAGCAATCGGGTAACATGGATAGAAAGAAGGGATTGGCTCTAGTTTTCTCAAGGTGCTTGGGAAACTCTGAAAAATGAAATTAGAAAAGCCCAGTCAAACTTAATTCCACAGAGAAAGAAAAACAAGAGAGGTTAAACCATATGACGAACGGTTGTAGGAACTGGGTACGTCTAGTCTAACGAAGAGAAGGGCTAGGAGTGACAGGAATAGCATCTTCCAATATTTAAGGAGCTGCCACAAAGAAGAGTGGGACAACCTACCCTCCAAAGCACATGAAGGAAGAACAAGAAGTAACAGACGGAAACTAAACAAGGAGAGAAGCAACCTAGAATTAAGAAGAAATTTCCTGGCAGTGAGAACAATTAACCAGTGGAACAGCTTTCCTTCAGAAGTTGTGGGTGCTCCATCACTGAGATTTGACAGCCATTTGTCCAGGATGGTGTGGGATCTCCTGCTTGGACTAGAAGACCTCCAATGTGCCTATTCTATACTTTATATTCTAGGTCCCTGAGAGGGCGAGAGAAAGGTAGTTAATTTGCTTTTCATGAACACAGACCTCATATATCCACATCTGTCTGTCTCTATGGACATGCACGCAACTCTACAACTCATTAATAGAAAATACTCAAAAGAATGTTGACCATTATATAGTGTGTCCACCACTCCATGTTCTCAGACTACACCTGGTTTTCCAGAAGAAATGGCACAATAATATTTTTTAATGTGACGTTACGTCCTTTTTCTATGAAAAGGAAAGATACAAACCAAGTGAAAATTTCTTCTTGACTTGGACCAAGTGGTAGAAGAAGGTGGAGGTGAGGTGGTTGCCTTACCTTCAATCAAAGTTGTTCATTTCTTGCATCAGATAACTTCAGGGTTCAGAGGTAGCTGGTGTCATAAGTACCCAGCTCTGGTGAAGGGATATATGGTTTTTTTTTAAATTTGATTTATATGCCGCCATTCTCCGGAGACTCAGGGTGGCTTACAGTGCGTTAAGCAATAGCCTTCATACTTTTGTATATTTATACAAAGTCAGCTTATTGCCCCCACAAACTGGGTCCTCATTTAACCTACCTTAGAAAGGATGGAAGGCTGAGTCAACCTTGAGCCTTGGAGAGATTCGAACCTGCAGTAATTGCAGGCAGCTGGTTTTAATAACCAGCTTAATAACAGGGTGCTTAGACCACTGTACTACCAAGGCTCATGTTGGCCTGTGGAGGTTCTGAATTCCTTTGTGGTCCTCTTCTGCTCTCAACTGGTGGTGAGAACTTGGAAGGTGGCCCTCCATTACTGCTGTCATATAACATAACACTGGGCATCTCATCTGGGTGTTTCCCCCACCCCCCACATAGGTATGGGATGCTTACATTTCCCATAAGTCATCTACAAGAAAGATGAGTCCAGAATAATAACATTAAGTCAACAGGGGTGACTGATAGCAATGTTCCAATGTGTGAGAGGCTGCCAGAAACAATAACAGAGTAATAGAGTTGTAAGGGACCTTGGAGGTCTTCTCATCCCCTGCTCAAGCAGGAATAGCCATAGCAATCGCAATAGCACTTGGACTTATATACCGCTTCACAGTGCTTTAAAGCCCCCTCTAAGTTTTTTACAGAGTCAGCCTCTTGCCCCCAACAATCTGGGTCCTCATTTTACCACTATAACCACTAATGCCACCCCTTCCTTCCTTCCTTCCTTCCTTCCTTCCTTCCTTCCTTCCTTCCTTCTTTCCCTTTCTCCCTTCCTTCCTTCCTTCCTTCCTTCCCTTTCTCCCTTCCTTCCTTCCTTTCTTCCTTCCTTCCTTCCCACTTAGCAATAGCACTTAGATTTATATACCGTTCACAGTGCTTTCCAGACCTTTCTAAATGGTTTACAGAGTCAGCCTCTTGCCCCCAACAATTTGGGTCCTCATTTCACCCACCTTGGAAGGATGGAAGGCTGAGTCAACCTTAAGCTGGTCAGGATCGAACTGCTGGCAATCGGCAGAGTCAGCCTGCATTACTGCTCTCTAACCACTGCACCACCAAGGCTCTTATCCTATAATATTTCACATAAATGGTTGTCTAAAGAGGGGCTCAACCTGTTCTCCAGAGCCCCTGAAAGCATAACAAGAAGCAATGCATGGAAACTAATCAAGGAGAAAAGCAACCTGGAATTAAAATTTCCTGACAGTTAGGACAATTAACCATTGGAACAGCTTGCCTCCAGATGTTGTGGGGGTGCCCCAAACACTGGAGCTTTTGAAGAAGAGATGGGACACCATTTCTCTGGAATTGTTTAGGGCAGGAATGTCCAACCTTGGGTACTTTAAGACTTGTGGACTTCAACTCCCAAAATTCCCCAGCCAGTCATGCTGAGGATGGTTAAAAAACACTGTGTTTGCCAGTGAAACTCTAATTGTTAAATGATGTCATGATTTTCTGACTGTAACCTTTGAAACTCATTGCCTTAGAACAAATATTAGTAATTCTAGGTATATCTAGCCTACCAAAGAGAAGGATTGGGGGGGACACGATAGCAGTGTTCCAGTATTTGAGGGGCTGCCACAGAGAAGAGGAGGTCCAGCTATCCTCCAAAGCACCTGAAGGCAGGACAAGAAGCAACGGATGGAAACTAAACAAGGAGAGAAGCAACCTGGAACTAAGGGGAAATTTCCAGACATTGAGGACAATGACCCAAAGGAACAGCTTGTCTCCAGTAGTTGTGAATGCTCCAACACTGGAAGTATCAAAATCACATGAAGTATTAGTTTCGCTTTATAATACCTTGGTAAGACCACACCTGGAATTCTGCATCCAGTTTTGGTTGCCACGATGTAAAAAAGATGTGGAGACTCTGGAAAGAGTGCAGAGAAGAGCAACCAAGAGGATGAGGGGACTGGAGGCTAAAACATATAAAGAACAGTTGCAGGAATTGGGGTATGTCTAGTTTAATGAAGAGAAGGACTAGGGGAGACATGAAAGCAGTGTTCCAATATCTCAGGGGCTGCCATAAAGAAGAAGGGAGTCAAATTATTCTCCAAAGCACCTGAAGGCAGGACAAGAAGCAATGGGTGGAAACTAATCAAGGAGAGAAGCAACCTGGAATTAAGGAGAAATTTCCAGACATTGAGAACAATTAATCAGTGGAACAGCTTGCCTCCAAAAGTTACTGAAGGTTTACAAGACAAGATAGGGCAAACATTTATCTGGAGTGGTAGGGTTGGACTAGAACAGGGGTCTCCAACCTTGGCAACTTTAAGTCTGGCGGATTTCAACTCCCAGAATCAGGGCCGGATTTAGATTGAAAGAGGCCCTAGGCTATTCCACTTATGAGGCCCTTTCACCAGTGGTGGGATTCAATTTTTTTAACAACAGGTTCTATGGGCGTGGCTTAGTTGGGGGTGTGGCTTGGCAATCATGTGACTGGGTGGGCGTGGCTAGCTGGTCACGTGACTGTATGCGTGGGTAGCTCGTCATGTGACCAGGTGGGCGTGGCTATGTGCATAGGGACTACTTAGAGGGCTGAAAAAAGTCATTTCTGACTGGGCCTCGCACTTTTGACCGGTCCTCACACGTATGACCATCCTCACATTTATGCCCGTGCAGCTTTCTTACAACTTTTTTAGCCCTCTGAGTAGTCCATATGCACAAAAGGACTACCCAGAGGGCTGAAAAAAGTGATTTCTGACAGGTCCTCGCACTTTTGACCGGTCTTCACACTTATGACTGGTCATCATTTATGCCCATTGTTGCATTCTTAACAACCATGTCACTCATTTCACAACTGCTTCTCTTCACCATGGTGACAAGATAGGGCAAAAACGTAAAATGTGAGGACAGTCGTAAGTTCGAGGACTGGTCAAAAGTGCGAGGACCAGTCAGAAATAACTTTTTCAGCCCTCTGAGTAGTCCATATGCATAAAAGGATACAGCAATAGAGAGGATGAAGGAAGGGAAGGGAAATTAGAGTAGGAGTGAGGGTAAGAGAGGGAGGAAGAGAGGAGGAGAAGGAGAAAGGAAGAGGAAGTAGGGAGGAGAAGAAGAGGGAGAGGAAGAGAAAGTAAGAAGGAAAGAAAAGAGAGAGGTGGTAGGTTTGAGGAGAAAGATTGCTGTACAATAAAAAAGATGAAAGAGAAGAAAGCCAACTCCAAACAAATATAAAGATATTAAGATAAAGAATGAATTGTTAAACTTTAAAGAATAAAAGAGAACAAATATGAATAAATAACAATAATTAGAAACACACATACAAACATACAATGTATTTTCTTTGAACAGAGTATTTGGCCGGTTCACAAATTTAAACAGTGTTTAGTCATTTCAATTAAATTTACAATTTCTATATTTCCTTTTTGCCATATTTATTCCTCATCTATTTTTGTAAAAAACCAATATTACCCTTCATCCTCATCTCTAATCTTAATCAAATTCAATTTTTCCCTTCTATTCTATATTATACCCCTTCCCATTGTCATCTATTTTTATATCCATCCTCACATTGGTTAATTATGTAATATTAGTTGTTTAATATAAATTCAACATTTTAATATAAATCAATTAGTTATATAACTACCTTTTTTGTATATTAATCAATATGAACATGAATATTCCAATTATTTCCATGCAATCCAATTTCTTACAAATCAATTAATTATATTTACCAATAATAATAAACCAAATAATTTCCCCCATATATTCCTCCAAACCACAACTTAACCATTTCTGCTTTCAACACAATATACGATTAATAGTATCTCAATTATTACAATTCCCTAGTTAAATAGAGCTTTTTTTCTTTTGTGTTTTAAAATCCTGATCTCTCCTCTTTTTCCCTAAATTTCCCATTGTTTTCACCTACCTTTTTTGGTGAGGAAAAAGAAAAGAATTCTGCCTGCCTAATTTTCCAACCTTGCAGCAACAGCAAAGCAGTTTCAGTTTCGTTTCTTTGCAAGGAAGCAGAAGAGCCCTGAGCAAAACAGCCCAGACAAATCAGCTGAGAGCCGGGAGGCCAATTAGCCTCTGCTGAAGCTCCGGGGGCCAATAAAATTACAAAAAAAAACACCGAACCCTTTGTTAAATTGCTGGCTCCCCCGCCCCCCCCCGCCCCCAGAATCCCACCACTGTGTAGGCCCCTCTTGATCTTGAGGCCCTAGGCTGAAGCCTAGTTAGCCTATAGGAAAATCCGGCCCTGCCCAGAATTCCCCAGCCAGGAATCAGTCTAGAATCATGATGGCGAACCTATGGCACGCGTGCCAGAGGTGGCACACAGCGCCCTCTCTGTGGGCACGTCATTTGCATCTTTTTAGAGAGTCCTTGAGGCCACTTGGAGGTTTTTTTTTTGTTTTTTTTTAATTTGATTTATATGCCGCCCTTCTCCGAAGACTCAGGGCGGCTTACAATGCGTTAAGCAATAGCCTTCATACTTTTGTATATTTATACAAAGTCAGCTTATTGCCCCCACAAACTGGGTCCTCATTTCACCTACCTTAGAAAGGATGGAAGGCTGAGTCGACCTTGAGCCTGGTGAGAATTGAACTTACAGTAATTGCAGGCAGCTGTGTTAATAACAGCGTGCTTTAGACCACTGTACTACCAAGGCTCTTTACCTGTGTCCTCAGGTTTACCTGTGTCCTCAGGATCACCTGAGTGGGGCAAATGTCTGTGGAGCCTTCTTGGAACTTTTGAAAGGACTGTGTTGTGGAGCTGTGCTTTCTGCAAGACGTTTTCCTGCAACCGTGTGTCCCTTCCCTGTTGAAGATGGGCGGAGGCTGTTGGGGATGAGGCTGTGTTGTCTGCATCTCAAATCCCCCCTGTGCCCGTCTTCAACAGGGAAGGGACACAGGACGGAAAACACCCTGCAGCCAAGGAGGCTCCACACCCCATTTGCACCGCTCGTACAATTGTAAATTCTGCTGCCTTCTAACACTGATGATGTTACTTAGTTGGGTAATAAAACATCTGCAAGAAAGCAACCAAGCTGACATAATACCAACGACACCACAGTCCACTCCTCCTCCTCCTCCTCCTCCTCCTCCTCCTCTCTTCCTCCTCCTCCTCCTCCTCCTTCTCCCTTCTAGCCTGATGATGTTACCTATTTGGGTAATGAAACTTCTGCAAGAAAACCACTAAGTTTAGAGAGCACCAAGAACCCGCAGTCGTCCTCCTCCCTCCTCCTTTCCACAAATCCCATTCCCTTCTAGCACTGATGGTATTATCTAGTTGGGTAATAAAAAGTCTGCAAGAAAATAACTGAGGTCAGAGAGCACCAAGGACTCGATAGTCGTCATCCTCCTCCTCCTCCCTGCAAATCCCACTCCTTTCTAGCATTGATAATGTTATCTAGGTGGGCACTGAAACATCTGCAAGAAAACAACCAAGCTCAGAGAACACCAAGATCCCCACAAACTAAGCCAGCCTGATACAAAAGGCTCCCCTGATGTGATCCCAGGTCAAAAACCTTACACAGGGAGAAATGAATTTACCTCAGCATCTTCAACCTGTTGTCCACATACATCTCCTTTCAAATCCTGGATGTCGGACTTCAGATATTTCCACTCTGTGGGGCACTTGGCAGATACCTCTCAGCTGAGACAGTCAGATGGATGTCAGATAGCAGCTGAGGACCTGCAGGAGAAAACAGAATTCTGTTTTAGTTGTTGTGGCTCCATTACCTGAGCTTGTGTCATCGGCAGGAGAGGACTCTGAGAGTGAAGGAGAGGAGTTGGCAAGGTCTCCCTCTCCAGGACCCTCCTCTCTGGCAATGCCTTCAGTGTCCGCCGAAGGGCAAGAGATAGGGCCGGGGCCAAGCACGTCCACGCAGCCACAGGTGGACAGTGATGAGGGAAATGAGTCTTGGCTGGATCCACGCCAGTGTCGCAGAGATAAGCACGTGCAACAGAAGAAAAGGCGTGCCGGAGATTAGGCTGAGTCACTGGACCACACCCCACAGGATATAAAAGGGAGCGTGGTGGCCAGTCAAACCTTGTGACGAACAAAGCTGAAAGCTTCCACGCCATTCTGCATTGCCGGACTTTTGCTTTAAGACTTTGCTGAATTATCTTTGGACTTGATTGACTCCGTAATTATTGAGCTGTTTCCTTTGATGTACCAGAAGCGGGGAGAAGTTATCTCTCCTCTTCGTAAGTAATAAACTCTTGGCAGGCAGCCACTAGGTTGTTGCCAAGTTCCGTTATCATAAGGAAAAGGATTTTGCCGGCTGGTTTGGTCTTTAACTCTTGAACGTCTGTTGGTGTGTGTGCGTGTGGGACGGGGACGGAACATTAGTCATGAATCCTTGGAGGGGTGCAGACTGGCCAGAATCTTTAGCTTCAGCCATATGAGATCATCATGATTTGTGATTCGTGATATTTGACAGAATAACAGAATAATGAAATAATTGGAAGGGAACATGGAGGTCTTCTAGTCCCGCCTCCTGCTCAAGCAGGAGACCTTATCCCATTTCAGATAGGTGGTTGTCTAGACTCTTCTTAAAAACTTCCAGTGTTGGAGCATTCACAACTTCTGGTGGCCAGCTGTTCCACTGGTTAATTGTCCTCACTGTTAGGAAATTTCTCCTTAATTCTAAGTTGCTTCTCTCCTTGATTAGTTTCCATCCATTGTTTCTTGTCCTGCCTTCAGGTGCTTTGGAAAATAGTTTGAATCCCCTCTTCTTTGGGGCAGCCCCTCAAATGTTGGGAAACTGCTATCATGTCACCCTTTTTTAGTTGTTCTTTTCATTAAACTAGACATTTCCAAGTTGATCAGCATCTTCTGCATAGAAGCTAGAGGAGTCTGAGAAGCTCTGATGGTTAGCCCTAGAACAGGGTAGAGAACCAACCTCAGCAACTTAAACAGAATTACAGAGTTGGAAGGGACCTCAAAGGTCTTCTAGTCCAACCCCCTGCTCAAGCAGGAAACCCTATTCCATTTCAGACAAATGGTTGCCCAGTCTCTTCTTAAAAACCTCCAGTGATGGAGCAACCACAACTTCTGGAGGCCAGATCAGGGGTGGGTTCTAAATTTTTTTTACTACCGGTTCTGTGGGCATGGCTTATTTTGTGGGCGTGGCTTGGTGGGGGGTAATGTGACTGGGTGGGTGTGGCCAACTTTTTTTTTTTTAACTTATAAAAGCATTTTTTCTACAACCTTAAGAGGTTGCAGAAAAAAATGCTTTTAAAAGCCTCCGACAATCAGGCAACTCAGCTGGGATCACCAGAGGCTTTTAAAGGCATTTTTTTCCCCCACAACCTCTTCGGCTGAAGAGGTTGTAGAAAAAAATGCTTTGAAAAGCCTCTGACGATCCCAGCTGAGCCGCACGATCATCAGAGGCTTTTTTTTTTTTTACTTTTAAAAGCATTTTTTCGGCCGAAGAGGTTGTAGAAAAAATGCTTTTAAAAGTAAAAAAAAGCCTCTAATGAGGTGGGCGAGCGGCAACCGGGCCGGGGACCAGTTCGGGGGCGTGGCCAGCCAATGTTATTACTACTACAAATTTTTACTACCGGTTCTTGTGAACCGGTGCGAACCGGGAGCAACCCAGCACTGGGCCAGATGTTCCACTGATTCATTGTTCTCGTTGTCATGAAATAGTTCTAGGTTGCTTCTCTCCTTGATTAGTTGCTTCTTGTCCTGCCCACAGGCGTTTTGGAGAGCAAGCTGACTTCCTCTTCTTTGTGGCAGTCCCTCAGATATTCGAAGATCATTTCATTTCATTTTTTATCATTTTATTTGATTTATATACCGCCCTACTCCCGAAGAACTCAGGGCGGTGAACAGGCACAAGATAAAACACATAGAATACAAAAATTTAAGAGCAGAAGTAAAATCGAATTAAATCAATTTAGCCCAAGACAAATTTAAAACCCCAGGTTAAGAACAAATTAAAATTTACATTAAAATTTACATTAAAAAGAGAATGGGAGAAAATTAGGCCAGGCCCGCCTGGTGAAATAATAAGGTCTTTAAAGCGCGGCGGAAGGTGCGCAGATCTGGGACCCTCCGTATCTCCGGGGGGAGCTCGTTCCAGATAGTAGGTGCCCCCACAGAGAAGGCTCTCCTCCTGGGGGCCGCCAGCCGACATTGTTTGGCCAACGGCATCCGGAGGAGTCCCTCTCTGTGAGAGCGTACCGGCTGATGGGAGGCCGTTTGCAGCAGCAGGCGGTCCCGTAAATAACCAGGCCCTAAGCCATGGAGCGCTCTAAAGGTGGTAACCAAAACCTTGAAGCGCACCCGGAAGACCACCGGGAGCCAGTACAGCTCTCGCAGGAGAGGTGTTACATGGGAGCACCACGTCGCTCCCATCACCACCCGCGTGGCCGCACTCTGCGCCAGTTGGAGCCTCCGGGTGCTCCTCAAGGGGAGCCCCATGTAGAGAGCGTTACAGTAGTCCAGGCGGGAAGTGACAAGGGCATGAGTGACCATGTTTAAGGAGTCCCGATCACCCCTAGTCCTTTTCATTAAACTAGGCATACCCAATTCCAGCAACCATTCTTTAAACATTTTAGCCTCCAATTCCCCCTTCTCCTTTGTTACAGGTAGGCCTTAGGTCAGATCCAGTGGGATCCATCTTGTATACTAAAGGATTTTAATCAAAGTAGAAACAATGTGCTGACAACCATACAAACATCCTCAGTCATCCAGGTTGTCCCAAAGGAGCTTTTTTTTTTTTTTTAAGAGATAACTGGACTTTCTGGTTTTTCTTTGAAGTCGTTTCGCTTCTCATCGAAGAAGCTTCTTCAACTCTGGCTGGACAATGGGGAATGGAGGGATTTACATTCCTTGCAGTTTGAGATGCAGGCAATACATTGTGTTCACCCATGAAGAGACACAGGACAGAAAACATTCTGCAGAAAGCACAGCTCCACAACACAATCCTTTCAACACAATCCTTTCAACAGTTCCAAGGAGGCTCCACACCCATTTTCACCACTCAGGTGGCCCCAAGGACACAGACAAACGTCCAGGTGGCCTCAACGACCCTCTAAAACAGTGTTTCTCAACCTTGGTAGCTTGAAGATGGGTGGACTTCAACTCCCAGAATCCCCCAGCCAGCGCTGGCTGGGGGATTCTGGGAGTTGAAGTCCACCCATCTTCAAGCTACCAAGGTTGAGAAACACTGCTCTAAAAGGATGCAAATGACCAGCTGTCTGCAAGGAGTATCAATCCTTCCTTTCCCCATCCTCCAGTCAGAGCTGAAGAAGCTCCTTGGATGAGAAGTGAAACGTCTTCAAAGATAAAACAAGGAAGTCCAGTTGCCTCTTGAAAAAGCACCTTTGGGATATTCCCCTTATAATTCCTATTTCAGAAGGTCACCTTCAGAAATTATGATCTTTCTCAGATGCCCATCTCTTAAAAATTATTTAATTTATTTTAAATTGCTTTTAAATTTTGCATTTTGTGTTTTTTACCTTGGCTGTTCACCGCCCTGAGTCCTTCGGGAGAAGGGCGGTATATAAATTTAAAAATAAATAAATAAATTTACACCGTCATTAAGAAATCAAGGTTAATGTATATATGTATTTACATGTTCAAATATAGATAGATAATCCTTTGTTTTAGTTTTAGTATATATGTAATTTAGAATTGTACTTTCTTTTTTAGAGTTAAGAACGTTTTGTACTATCTTTTATCTTTTTAAATTGAATGAAGTTTGTTTTTAAAATTTAAAAAATAAATAAATAAATAAATAAATAAATAAATAAATAAATAAATAAATAAATAAATAAATAAAAAAACACACATTATTGGTACCAACCTTCGGCCGAAGATGAGCACTTTACATTCTTCTTCTGTTGCTGCTGTCCATCATCTTGGGGCTGATCTGGTTCTGATGGACACTTGGAAAATCTTCTCTAGAAATCCATGGCAAGGTTCATTTCCAATCTTGAGATTGGAGTTGTCACGAAACACACCTGGAAAGTAATGCAAAATGAGGGCTTAAAGAAGAACTCCCTTCCTTACCCACAGCCCTCCCCACATCATCATAACAACCCTGAGGTGGCATCTCCAAATCTGCAATCATCATATCTCGAAGACAGAACAAACCTTGTAGGTCAGGACCAAGAAGTGGGCATGGTGCAGGTGTGATGTACATTAAACAACAGTTGCAATCACCCTCTGTAGACACCCCCAGCCAGGACTACCTCCAGTCTAATCTCAGCATGGATGGGATAATGACCTGAATGCAATAATCTGGATCTGCCTTCCTGACCTCAGATACCTCAACAGGGACTGATGACCACGTGGGTCAGCCTACCCAAGGATGGGTCATAGAAGACAGAACATAGGACCATAAGTCTGGAAGAGACCTTGGAGGTCTTCTAGTCCAATTCCTTTGCTCAAGCAGGAGAACATCCAGGTCAAATAATTGCCCAGTCCTTTCTGGAAAATCTCCAGTGATGGAGCAGTCACAACTTCTGGAGGCAAGTTGTTCCACTGATGAATTGTTCTCACAGTCAGGAAATTTCTCCTTAGTTCTAGGTTGGGTCTCTCCTTGGTGAGTTTCCATTGGTATCTTCCCGTCCCATCCTCAGGAGCCTTCGCCCACGCGGGAAACCTAGGATTGCCAGGTGTCCACTATTTGAGCGGACAGTCTGCTTTTTTCACATTATATTCACTATTTTTTTTCACAAAAATAATGGACATTTTTTTTTATTCAAAAGCTTTATGATGAAATGGTACGTAATCTAAAGCTGTACAGTCTAAGAGAATAAGGACAGGAGAATCGCGTTTTGTCTTTTTTTTCATAAGTTAGAATGAGACAAAGATCGAATATCCATTGAACTCGATTCTCCGAAAAAATTAATGATGAGATTAAAATAAAACATATTATAAAATTATGTACAGTTCACATTTTTAAAATGTATTGTAGCTTGTGTCGACTGACCTAAAATGGCGTCGAGGGATGAGAGTGACAGCGGCGAGATGAAATTTAATATTTTACATATTATTATAATATATTTGATGTTTTGAACTTAAAGTAAAGTTTTGAAGTGATTATTTTAATACGTGTTAAAATGTTTGTAAGAAAATATATAATTTAATTGTAATTTTTTTAAAAAATTTTTTACTACTTAACTACCCCCCCCCCCCACCGCTTGTCCGCTATTTTTTGGAAGCAGACCTGGCAACCCTAAGGAAACCCTATACCATTTCAGTCTCTTCTCAAAAACTTCCAGTGATGGAGCTCCCACATCTTCTGAAGACAAACCGTTCCACCAGTTAATTGTTCTCACTGCCAGGAAGTTTCTCCTTAATTCCAGGTTGCTTCTCTCTTTGTTCAGTTTCCATCATTGTTTCTTACCTTGCCTTCAGGTGCTTTGGAAGATAGTTTGACCCCCTCTTCTCTGTGGCAGCCCCTCAAATATTGGACGCCTGCTCTCCTGTCACCCCTGGTCCTTCCCTTCATTAGGCTTGCCCACACCCCCAAGATCCCTGGCCCCCTCCCAAGACCAACCAAGGCCCCCATCAAGATCTTTTGGGGGAGGGGGGAGGCATGTAGATTGCAAAACCCCCTTTCAATTTTGCCAACTCAGCAGCCCTTCTTTGAATCCAGGAAAATCACGGGGATGGTCTCTGATGGGTTTTATCCTGTTTTGTTTTTCTGTTTGCTGTTTGTAACTCTCTTCTTTCCTCTTCTCCTCCTGCCCTGCTTTGCCACGGATGCTCTCATTAGCCCAGTCCCTCCTGGCTGCCCACCCCCCCACCTCGGTCCCCCCTTCCTGATTTCACAGCCCTGCAGGTCAGAACAGGCCCCATTTTCCCCGGCGCCCCCCCCAGCCCACCCCCACCTCCCTTCAACTTATTACCGAGGTTCGTTAACAATTTGCAAGGCCCTCCGAAGCCAATCAATTATGCATCAAACAACTTTTTCATTCCTTACCTCGAGTCAGGCAGAGACACGGGAGGGGAGGCCCTTCTTAAAAATGTAAAAAAAGGGAAGAAGAAGAAGAAGAAGAAGGGGGAAAAAAGCATCCTGGTTTTTTTTTTCTCTTTGGGGTCTTTTGTTATTATTTTTATTATGATGATTTCTCTCTCCCCCCCTCTTCTTCTACCCCCCCCCCTGCACTTTTGAAAGCTCTGCCTCCCGGTGTTGAGATTAAAATGCATCAAATGCTCGGTTTAATTGGCGAGCGATGCCCGGAAAAAAAGAAGGAAAGAAAAGGGGGGGAAAGGAAAGGAGAGCTGGGGTTGGGGGGGCTTATTGCTTTTGTGTGCAACTCTGGGCAGAGGGGAGGTGAGGGGTGGGGGAGAGGGCAAGACGCCCAGCCCTCTGGAAGGGAGGGGGAAACTTTAAGTCTCATTGTCGCTCTGTGCACAGATGAACAGTGGACATCTCTGCAGAATAACAGAGTTGGAAGGGACCTTGGAGGTCTTCTAGTCCAACCCCCTGCTCAGGCAGGAGACCCTACACCACTTCAGACAAATGGATGTCCAACCTCTTCTTAAAAACTTCTAGTGATGGAGCACCTGTTTCTTGTCCTACCTTCGGGTGCTTTGGAGAATAGCTTGACTCCCTCTTCTTTGTGGAAGCCCCTGAGATATTGGAATGCTACTATCATGTCATCCCTGGTCCTTCTTTTCCTTAAACTAGACATATTTGTTTTATTTTATTTATTTATATTTAAATTTATATACCGCCCTTCTCCCGAAGGACTCAGGGCGGTGAACAGCCAAAGGTAAAAAAAAACATAGAATACAGAAATTTAAAAGCAGTTTAAAATATATTAAACATACCCAGTTCCTCCAACCGTTCATCGTATGATTTAGCCTCCAGTCCCCTCATCCTCTTTGTTGCTCTTCTCTGCACTCTTTCCAGAGTCTCCACATCTTTTTTACATCGTGGCGACCAAAACTGAATGCAATATTCCAAGTGTGGCCTTACCAAGGCATCATAAAGTGGTATTAACGCTTGATGTGATCTTGATTCAATCCCTCTGTTTATGCAGCCTAGAACTGTGTTGGCTTTTTTGACAGCTGCTGCACACAGCTGGCTCATATCTAAATAGTTGTCCACTAGGACTCCAAGATCCCTCTCACAATTACTACTATTAAGCCAGGTTTCACCTATATAGTACCTGTGCATTTTTTAAAAAAATTTGATTTATATGCCGCCTTTCTCCGAAGACGGAGCCTGCAGTACAGTGGACTAAAGCATTGTTATTAACATCTACTGCTTGCAATTACTGCGAGTTCGAATCTCTCCAAGGCTCAAGGTTGACTCAGCCTTCCATCCTTTCAAAGGTAGGTAAAATGAGGACCCAGATTGTGGGGGCAATAAGATGACTTTGTATAAAATATACAAAAGTATGAAGGCTGTTGCTTAACGCATTATAAGCCACCCTGAGTCTCCGGAGAAGGGCAGCATATAAATTAAAGCAAAAAGAAAGAAAAAAGACTCAGGGCGGCTTACAATGCGTTAAGCAATAGCAATTTTGTTTTTCTTGCCTAAATGTAGAACCTTACTTTATACAGGTAGTCATCGACTTACAACCACAAGTGAGCCCAAATTTTTTGAGGTTAAGTGAGACATTATTTAAGCGAGGTTTACAATCTTTCTTGAATCACGGCCGTTGATAAGTTAGTGACACAGTCGTTAAGCGAATCTAGCTCCCTCGTTGACTTTGCTGCTCAGAAGGTCGCAAAAGGGAATCGTGTGATCCCGGGACTCTGTGACCGTCATAAATACGAGCCAGTTGCCAAGCGGCCGTAATTTGGATCACGTGACCACAGGGGATGCCGCCATGGTTGTTAAGTGTGGAAAACCGGTCACAAGTGGGCTTTTTTCAGCGCCGTTGTAACGTCGAACAGTCACTAAATGAACGGTCGTAAGTCCGGGACTACCTTTATTGTTTATTTGTATCCTGGAATATTGTAGATCCGAAATACACAACCGAGTGGACTTCAAGAAAGCAGCCAGGATGCCTTTGCAACGGGAAAAAAAAACCCAGAGAAAGGGTTGAAAAACTTGCAGTGGTGATGAAAAGGGGTTGGGTTGGATTCACACCGTGGCAGCGGCCATTTTGACTTTTTTGACTGACTCCTCTTTCCCGCGGATCTCTTCGCTTGGACAGGCTGATCCAATGCATCTAGGACAGTGTTTCTCAACCTTGGAAGCTTGAAGATGGGTGGACTTCAACTCCCAGAATCCCCCAGCCAGCAGCGCTGGCTGGGGGATTCTGGGAGTTGAAGTCCACCCATCTTCAAGCTTGCAAGGTTGAGAAACACGGATCTAGGATGTTATCTCCTCTCTCCCTTTACTTTCCCTTTACAATCTCAGTATTGTATTTGGATTTCTGAAATGGAATTTTCCCATTTGGTAGGAAAATGACAAGCGTTTTATCGTGATTTAAATTCCTCCCCCCTCACACACACACCCCCTCCCCAGAACAAGCAGCCTTTTTATTCAACTCCTCAGACCGGTAAATGCATTGCTTGCGATTCATCATCCCGGTAAAATTTACTGTTGTCCATTAGAATTTCAGGTTTTATGAGAATATAACTGTCTGCAGTAAGTTGGGTCCCGAGTACGGAGAAAGCCTCTAAAATATGAACGATCCATAAAAATTATGAACAAGTGAGGAACTCGGCTTTGGCCTATAAATAAAAGCTTGGAAGTTGCTGATTAATCTAAATTCGGTCAACATCAGGATTTCTTCCTTCGTTCCGAGATGCATTTTTTTTTGCACACAGGTCTCGGAGCTTGGGGGGTGGGGGTTTCTCCTAAGGTGCATTTTTAAGGCAAACCACTTCTCCTAAAAGACACTTTTAAAAAATTAATTTTTTAAGAGATATATGTATGGGGGGGGGGGAGGAGAAAAAGGGTAGATTATGAACAGAAATTGCTAAACTGGGAGATATAATAATATTATTATGCTAAATTAGGAGTTATTATATAATGTTATAGTAGAACGTTATTTTGAAATGTATAGTATAAGGGGGATATAATAATATTATTAGAAAGAAAGAGTCAGCATATGGGGGATGGAGTAAGGGGATGGTAAAGTATTATATAATCTGTTATGAATTTGGGTTTTATTTTGAAGAAGCCACAGAGGGAGGGGAGGGTGAGGGGGGGTTAGGGAGGAGGGGGGGAAAAAAGGGGGAAAAAATTGTATTTGAAAAACTTTTTCAATTAAAAAAAATTAATTTTCTTTTTTCTTTCTCTCTTTTTTTTAGTATTTACGCCACAACAGGATCCTTTCTACCGAATTGTCCTCCTGCTGCTTCTTCAAAACCGGCGTTACTCACACTGGGCAATTTTAAGACAGCTGGGCTTCAACTCCCAGAATTCCCCAACCCAGCCAGCTGTTGGAAATAGGGCTCTGGCATGCTGGCTGGGGAATTCTGGGAGTTGAAGTCCACCCATCTTAATATTGCCCAGTGTGAGAAACACTATTCGAAACCCTACGGTTTTGGAAGGAGGGAGACTGCGGTGATAGATAGAATTAATAATGTGGGGTGCTGGGTGCTCTCTCAGCTTCAGGGGTGGGTTCCACTTACCTTTACTACTGGTTTGCAATGGGATCTCATGCGCTCCGAACTTCTGAGCATGCGCAGAAGCTTCTGCACCTGCGCAGATCGTCTATGATGAAATCCAGATGGATGGACAGAGCTTCCCCCCCCCCCCAGTTTTATTACCGGTTCGCAAGAACCAGACCGAAGCAGGGGCAACCCACCACTGCTCAGCTTGGTTGTTTTTTTGCAGACTTTTCATAACCCAGCTAGGTAATTGAATCAGTGCTAGAAGGGAGTGGGGTTTGCAGGGAGGAGGAGGAGGAGGAGGAGAACTGTGGTCCTTTCTGAGCTTGGTTGTTTTCTTGCCGATGTTTCATAACACCATCAGTGCTGGAAGGGAGTGGGGTTTTCAGGGAGGAAGAGGAGGCCTATGGAGTCCTTGGTGCTCTCTGAACTTGGTGATTTTCTTGCAGATGTTTCTTTACCCCACTAGGTAACATCATCAGTGTTAGAAAGGAGTGGGATTTGCTCTTACTGTATTTTTATATGCTGATGATGTCACCTAGTGGGGAAAAGAAACCTCTGCAAGAAAATCACCAAGTTCAGAGAGCACCAAGGACTCCATAGGCTGCCTCCTCCCCCTTGTTCCTTTCTCCTGCACTCCAAACACCCCACTTCCTTTTAACACTGATGATGTTACCTAGTTGGGTGAAGAAATGTCTGCAAGAAAATCACCAAGCTCAGAGAGAACCAAGGACCCCAGAGCTCAACCCTGAGCTACAAATATTCTTTTCTATCAGAATGAACACTCAAGTTATACCAGCTGCCTCAAGTTTTCTTGCAGGGTGAAGTTCACAAATGGACAACAGAAATGCCTCATTCCAGGGAACAATTTTGTCCCCTGATAGCACAGATTTTACTTATTTATTTTATTTAAAACATGTACCCTCCCATCTTATAAGCCACTCTGGGCCGTTTCCTAATCAAAAGATGGGAAATCTTAGAGGTCCAGATGGGATTTTTAAACCCCTGACAAATCATAATTTTTAATAAGTTGCATATTATTAGAAGCCTGGGGAATAATCATATTACCTGCTTGATGGATAACATTTTAATTAAATGTACATTTAATCAATAGCTCATCTTTGCCTTGATTCTACTTATATTGGAATCCAGGTTGCAGTCAGTTTTGGGATTTATGCTGTCCATATATCTTGAAGGAAGAAGCAGACTGGCCCCAGTGTGAAAAAAGTTGTGTGTCTTTGCACCAAGTGACACAATGAAGTACACCAATAAAATGCTTCTCAAGTTACTAAGATTGGGCAGATTTATTCAAACCATGATGAAAACGAAAGCAGCAGATTCTAGAAAGTGGGGAGGAGGCGGAGGGGGGGGGAGGAGGACAAGGAAAAAGAAGGAAGAGAAGGAGGAGGAGGAGGAAGACGAAGAAGACAAAGAAGAAGAGAAGGGGGAAGAAGAAGAGGA